ACCCCCCCGACATGAATATATAACTCAAGGGACAGCAAGGTGATCCTAATTACTCACCTTCAGGTCCCGGTGCACCACGCCCATTTGATGGCAGTGAAGCACCGCCTCCAGGATCTGCTGGATGCAATGACTGCATGCAAACACCAAGGAGGGGGCTCATGTTAGTCTCAGCAGCGCTTCACTCGCGTGCACAGGCCAAGGGAGTAGGGGGTGAGGTGAGGAGTGGGGGTGTTATGGAAGGTAAGAGGGTTAGAAAAGAGGTAGAAAGGGCTCTTCTGTTGCTTTGACCTTTTACTGGCCAATCAGGGTTCAGTTCTACAAATTTCCACTGGATCCAAATGTGATGCCGAGCTCAGACTAAACAATATTTGTGATTGTTCGAGGTGATTATAGAGTCATAAAGTCTTGCATCTGTTTGACCGAGAGACACCGTAGACTGCTCCACTATCAATCATGCTGGCTCTCGTACAAATTGTGCATGATGTCATCAGGAAGGAGGAGCTGGCTATTTCCAAGCAAAGAATGTAAACCGACAATGGCAACCACTGCCACAGTGTATGTGATACTGGCCAGCTGGCATTATTCCACTTCCTCTTTCATTTTGTGATGTTTACAGGTGTACACACAGCTGGGAAAATAAATAAATGGTTCAATGGCTGGTGGACCTCTCTGTGCTACTTTTGGTCAACATCACAGAAGTTAAAAGTGGACATCATGAAGTGTCCATAAAAACAGCATGCATGCTGCAAGACTCCAATTTAGTCTTTTTTTAATGTCTGATGATATCTACCACTCCTGCTCTTCATCAGACAATAACAGCATCTTAAATTACATGTTGCTGGTCACATGATCACATCATGTCCAATCATAACACATATACCAACCTAGTGTCCAGATGCAAGAATGTTTTTTGTCCATTATGACACACTACACAAGATAAAACGACTGACTATCAGTCAGGTCCTGCTGAATAATCAACCCTTTTCACGCTTTACCCAAACTGACGCCCCTGTGCTGTGGCCATAACTAGGCTGATATCATATAGGCTGAACCCGGCATAATACCTACTATAACATTAATTTCTTAGACTGCAAGACTAAAAAATGAATTGCTCAGGCTTGCTCATCTGTGGTGAGCTTCTCACTTAAAAGGTGACCTAAGTTTTAGGTGGCGACTGCGGCTGTGAAACAAACACCTTCCAGCATATCAGACGTCATCATTGACCTTCATTAGTGAAGTTTTTGGGGGCTGGCTGTAGCCATGAGTTTGACTCTGTGAACTGCAAGGTCAGAGGTATGCAACAGAAGACTCCTTTGAGTCAATTTAATCTGCAAATAACCAATGGATACAGCCTATGATCTTTGTCTTAGGTGGTCTATTCTTGGTAGATGACAACCCAATCTATGAAACACATTTACTGTTGGCTAAGGGCAGATTCTCAATACCCCACCTCCCTCCATGAACTCGCCAGCAGGCTTTGAGTGATGAAAGAGGGGTGTGAGGAAATGGCTGGCCAAGGGGGGCTACAGAAAGCGTTGATGAAGGAAGTAAGGGAAGGAGTGAGTCATTGTGCAATTAATAACAAGATGTGTCTGGGATCAATGCCACGTCTACTGCCAGTCTAGCTGGCCTATGCTGACAAGAGTAGTCATTCTGATGTCAGCAAGCCTCCAGACACTAAAAATAAAGCCAAAAACTGGACAAGGGACGCTGAGGGGCGATCGAGGTGTGAGTGTATGCAGAAATTAGATGATATTCCTCAGCAGGGTGAGGTGTGAATTAATGCAGAGCCGCAGTAATACACACTCACAAATGTACTGTTGGAAATGTTTTGCTGTGACCGTGCATATATGCTTCCTGTGCACTGACAACGTTTTTC